CAAACATAAAAGTGATATGGACAAGAGAGTGCGGATCGAGACTAAAAGCACGTGTGGTGCTACAAAATGCTCGCGCAAGAGCAATGAAGCTGACTACTGGCAATGAACTTGCAAAATATGCACACAATTACTGTTACAACATCTGTAATGGAATGTTTTGAAAGAATATGCTATTTCGGTGTATTGGATATCCCTGCAAGTATAGAGATTTGTGGTCATGATTTTAGAATACTCCACTGATATAAAATTGAGGATATTCAATTGGTAGTTTCTAAGTTCCCAAGTACCTTGGAAGACAAAACTGAAACTAGTACACACAACTTGGAGCAAGTTTATTGAAGGTTCGATTGGTATGATATTATATGATTTTTGTAATGATGTGTGTGAATATTGTTGCGAAAAATTCAGCTGCGGCAAGATAGCTTCCCCACAAAGAGGAGTTAGGGTTACCAGAAAGGGCACGGTTGTCCGATTTGGCGCGAAATCGCTCATTTGGCGACAAAATTGACGTGTCATAGAAGAAGTGAGAACATTCTAGAACTTATTCTTAGCGATTTTCCCGAGCATATTCTTCGAATAGGTAGGTTAAAGCTATATATACCATGCCTATACGCGGATTAGGAGTATTTTAAATTCAGTAGTGTAGTACAGTAATAATGTGTACTCAGTTCAGAGATTAGCTTGGGAGCGATCGACCGAATCGGGACTGTACTTTAGGGCTTTGCCGTGAAGCTATCTTTACCATTATAGCATGAAGGCTGTGTTACTTCAGCGTGTTTATCGTAGTTCTTCGACAACTGTAAACGTATCTTTGGAACTGTCCTATGCAATACTGCCGAATAAATTGTATTTTGATTCTTCATCAAGTGTTATCATCAGGTACTCCAAATCCACGAACCCGTAGAACGCAACAATATTTATGTAATCAAGTCACTGCTTTTTGTTTAAAAAATGACCAGGCAAATAGGTTTTCCAAAATGTGTTCTTATTGCCCATTTGCTTTTCAGTGTCCTCTTACTACCCTCGGAACAGTAACGCCCCTTAGATTTCTCATGGTCTACAATGGGAAATTAACGTGTAAATATTGGATTCGAAAGTCCATGAATTAAATACCGGATTCGTGAGCTTGCGATTATCTCAGTAGATTGGTTATCAAGTAAGAAAGTTTATTTCAATAAGCATGAGATAAAATGTTCTTAACGTTTATACTCACGTGATTGATTGTATAAGCAAAATAAACGTTGCAAAGCACATATTTCTAGATAATGGCTGAAACATATAGTTTAAAATATTCGAAAAATTCTTAAATGCAGGGTTTCGGTAGCGAATGTATTAAAAGCTACCTAGGCGCACTGATTTAAATCAGTACAAATTTTATTTTTGAAAGTGTGCTTTTATTTCATGTACGTGCAGAATTTTGCAACGTTTGCAACGAGTTTTAAAACTTCAATTTAAAAAAGGAGTTTATTAATCCCTTTTTTTAATTTATTAGACCTAAAATTCGATTATTTTTTAATATAAATTTTCTAAGATATTTTTAAAACAAGTACGTAAAAGATTCTTTTTAGCCCAAAGGAGAGTTAGCTCAGAAGGGCTATTAATTTCGTTTTCGCATTTTGCGTCGATTCAGGCGAATTTTGAAATTGTTGCCACCAAATATTAGATCCATGTATAATTTTAAAAAAATTATATAATGCAGAATCTGCATAAATGTATATATGCTTCTTGCACTGTGATAAAACAACGGTACCTAGACCCATCAAATTTTGAATGGCGTACATCTCCACCCGAATATGGGCATCTAGAAGCCAAAATTTGGAATTTGTTCTATTATCTATTTCACATTTTGTAAAGTATTTATGAGTTTTTGGTTAAGAAACTCAACGATTTCAAAGCGAGAAATGGCGACACAGTTACGGGGGGCTTTTCTAAATATTTTGCGATATTGCTGTTGAATTGAATTTAATGGTTTAAGTGAGAAGAACATGATATTTAATAAATAAAGGTAACACACAAAACGTTAAAAAAACGCCCCTTCGGCGTAATATAAAATCTGAAAGCTTTTAGATACCTTCTCCCCCCCCCCCCGAAATATCAAGAAGTGTGGAAATAATTAAGACTTACTAAGGATCGAAATTAATTTTAAATTTTGAAGAATTATTTCTTCAAAATTATTTTTCGAACTTGTAACGATAAACTAAAGGAATTAAAAGAATAATATTTTTCAACTTAATAAATATTAGAACTGGAATTGAATTTTTTACTGCAGTTAAAAAAAGATGCATTTGTATTTAATTTTTAATCGAAAAAATTCGAAAAAGGACTTCAAAATAAATTTGTATTGTCTATGTAATTACGTCTTTCTTTAAACTTTTTTCGATACACCGTAATTCGAATAATATTGAAATTTCCTTAGTTATAAAAATATTATTTTATTTTTCCATTTGAGAATTACATAAAATGTTTCGTGGTCACCTTCAGGAAATATAACTGCTTACATTTTTAAAAAATTCAAGCATTCCAAATAAAATGCTAAAAAGTCCAAACATGAGGAAATTTAGAGCTGGGTGGTTACATTTTTGTAGCAAATTAAAAAAAAAAATTTTTAATTTTTAAATGAGTATATTCCCTAGATACAATTTTTGATACTAATAATTTAATACAAAGAATTTATATCATGTACTTCCGTATATTACAAAAATTTTCAGTTATTAAAAATGTTGTACCGAAATCCAGTTTCCATCCCATGGACATAAGAAATAATAATAAATTTTATATCATGTACTTATATATATTAAAAAATATTTTCAGTTATTAAAATCCTAGTTTTCTTTCCATGGATATGAGATACAAAGCATCTCTCTCCATAGGATCCATGGACATATAATAAAAAGTTCACAGATTTTTTCTAAATATTTGATAACTTCAAAGATTTTATGCAAGAACATGCAGGTTTACAAAAAGATGTCTGTAACTTGCTTCTGAACCGAATAAAGGATGAATGATGCAGGATAACTTCTTATCGGTCGACACACACACACACACACACACACACACACAAACAAACAAAAAACAAAAAAAAAACAAAAAAAAACTGAAAACATTCAGATTTTATATTACGCCTAATCGTGCGTTTCTTAAATGTTTTGTGTATTACCTGTGTTACCCTTATTCATTAAATATCATATTCTTAGAACTTAAACCACATAAAATTCAATTCAACAGCTATCCACAAAATATTTAAAACAGCATATCTTTAGAATTTCCGATAGACAGTCTCGAGTGCTGAAGATCAATATTTTTTTTTTCCTAAACAGTGTTGCCATTACTCGCTTTGAAATCGTTTGAGTTTGCTAATTAAAAATGTCGCTAAATTTTTACGAAATAGATAAAAATACAAATTCGAAATGCAAAATTCGGGCTTCCAGGTGCTTATGTTCTGGCGGATGATTACGTAATTCAAAATTTGATGGCTCTAGGTACCGTCGTTTTTTTCACAATGCAAAAATGCATACATACATTCAGGCAGATTCTTCATTATTTAATTTCTTTAAATATAATACAGGGGGGGATAATATTTGTTGGCAGCAATTTAAAAAGTGATTCTCTGTTCATAGTGAACTCACGCAAAATATCGTTTCGAGAATAATAGTCCTTCTGGGCTAATGCTCCTTTGAGATAAAAAAAAAAAAAACTTCTTTTATGTAATTGAGAGCGGAGCATTTTAACTTCACACGTTAAAAATTTCTGATTAAAATGTGTGGAGTTAATGACAGACTAGTCAAACGTAAGGCAGTCGGGGCCTATTATGTCAGACAATTAATGTAGACATGGAGCTCTTACAGGAGTTTACAACAATTATCTTCCTTATTTCATGAGGAAATATAAAATAAATTTCTTTGGCACCTGAAACCTAGGGCTTTAAATTCGGACTCTGATCTTAGCCAATAAGACATCCTGAGTGTGTAGGATTGCCCTCTGGATTTTAACTAAAGTTCCCAAACTTACTAAGATAATCCAGCAAGATCTGGCTTCGTCTGTGAAATTAATTGCTTAAAGAGAAGTTTTAAACCTTTCTCTTATAAAGTTAAATGAACTAAATCCGCCACTTGTACAAATATTTTATTTCTCAAAGTTTAATTTAAAAATTAAATTGGGGCTGGAGACTACAAATTTAAGTATTCTAGCTAAGCGTTGGCTCTATTTTTCAAAGTGTGCCACTAGGGAGCCCAGCAGTGTTAGAGCGGTAAAAGCGCTGAACACGGGTAATTCGACGCGGATTTGCATTGGAGTTTTCATGGTTTACTCCATCTGTAACATGGATACGACAGAGTTTCTGTTAAAATTATCCTCCACGAAGGCATCTCTCCCCATAGGCAAATAGCCCTTGAGGGTAATAACGAAAAACTGTTGTAGCACAGCTAGGCGAGAGGAATGTACTACGGTGAACGTTGCATCCAAAAGCTCTCTCTGAAACTTCCAAATTCTTTGACTTAAACACTCATTTACATCCTGGTGAGAGCTAACAAAAAAAGTGAAAGTTGTATTCCATATCATCAGAAAATAGATTAATTAATGTAAGGCGCAGCACTGAATCCAGGGAAGAGTAATGGAAAGCATTTTCAGATCGAGTTAAAGTTCTGCAGTATCATCTCCCTATAAAAACACTGGAACATTCTTATCAATTTTAAATTAAATTGACCTACGTTTAGAACCAGGACTCTTATATATCACTTTGTTGCAGAAGTAAAATAAGATCATTTGATACTCTCGAAATTTAAACTCGTAACTTTTTGTTGCATACCTTTTATATTATTTAATTAATAAGTTAAAGAATTATTATTATTATTGGTTTGGCCTTTTACACTACATGTCTTAATAATGATAGATTCGAAGTACTCCTCTCGTCTCTTAAATTATTCTTTTTTTCCATAAATTGTGCATTAATAATAAAGATGTAAATGCATTGTGTAACTAATTACAATAATTGTTTTCACTAGATACTTGGTGGGACAGAGAAAACGGTCCTATATTTTTCTACGCGGGCAATGAAGGTGACATAGTTGGATTTTGGGAAAATACTGGATTCATGTTTCGCATAGCACCCGAATTTAATGCATTGGTGTTATTTGCTGAACATGTAAGTATATTATTTCTTTCAATTACTACGACTCATATTATGCCTAGATATTAAATTTTGTAAAATTTGGTGCGAAATTCAAAAATTTATCTTGGCACAATTTTTTTCAGTTTTCGCCAAGAATAATTCACTTAGAGAACTTCTTTATGCATTATTTCTTTTCCATTTATAGAGCTTCTTCCTAAAATACTTTCTTAAATATGACATGATTTTTTGGCTTCTGAGGCATCTTTTAAATCGAAAAATGTAAGTCAATTTATAATTAATGCTCTATTCGGTCATTTTAAATTAGAGAATTATTAGGAATTAGCGAAATACTTTAAATAGTACTTGACTTTCTCTGAACATTTCTGAAAGAGAATAAAAGTTTTATTTTTTTTTTTTTTTATTTTTTTTTTATTTCTTTTTTAAGTATTATTTAAAACTTATAACTGAGTTATTATAAAATGTAAGGGGAATAATTCTTTAATTATACTTATCAGATTTTTTTTTACCTTTCATTTCAACAATACATATTCCAAAACTCTTTATTACTTCCTTAAGTGCGCATCTCATAGCATTTGCTTTACAATACCTGTTAACACATTGCTTTTCAATACGAACAATTCTTGCTTAAATAGTTTTATAACGTATTTGTCAACAGAATTTCACTTTATGTTTACAATTCAATATTAAGGTTATTATATATTTAGATAACATTTATAATCATTATAAATTAGATACATTTAATAATTAGATTTCTTCACAGTACTTTTACAGTTGTTTATAAGTGAATAAATTCTTCATTTCAAATACATTTATAAACAATTTAATGAATATTTATGTATTTTGTCAAAGGCAGATACACGCTTTTTGCAATAATATGCAACAATAATATATTGTTGCGTGCGTACGGGTTCGTTATGAAATGAATGCACAAGTCCGATGAAAAATGAACAAAATTTTATTATATCACAACAAAAAATGCTTAAATTTCTCAAATTATCATGCAGTATTACAATATCTCACAGTAGTTATCTTTTAACTACTCAAATGTCCAATAGAACATAATTCAAAACAGCTAAAGAACGCTAATCCGCGAATTCGCTACAATCAACAAGAGCAGTTTTCTAAACAACAAAAAACTAAGCAACTACTACGAACTGATATGTTTTCCTTCTTTTATAAGATTTTAAAAATCACGCACTAGAATTTTCTAGTAATTTCTCGAAATCAAAAAGAGATATTTATTTATTTAATGCACGCGCTCTTGTATTTTCAATTTTCCGGCTTAGCTTTCTTTTAATATTCGTCACGCACTGCACTGCGCGAGAAATAAAACCATTTAATTTATAATTGAACTAACATTAGCTTTTTAAATACCAAATTCGTAACACTGCCCCCTTCCCAAGGACTGCACGTCCCGGGCAGTACAATCCCTGGACAGGAAGCTAAACCTACAACTGTTGCATAACATTACAATAATAATGTAATTAATAAGCATTACATTACAATAATAAACAACATGAACAATAAATGCAATAAATAAAACAAATCAAATGCTATCAAATACAAATCAAATACTAAATACAAACCAAATCAAATACACATTTAAAAACAAAAAGGACCATGGTCTTATACTATTTACAATTATTTACATTACGTACTATGGCCGTAGTAATGAGCTAACCTGTCGTAATGAACGACTTTAGGTTTAGAGTTCGAAGACTTACGAATCCGAACCACGACGTCATTCAGCCTGTTTAGGACTGTGTACGGACCATTCCAAGGTGACTGTAATTTCGGACAGAGTCCCTTCCGTCGAGTCGGATTCCACAACCACACCTTGTCTCCTTCGTGGAATTGACGTTCAGTAGCTCTTGTGTCGTATCGGGTCTTCATCTTCTCCGTCGCCAAGTTTGACTCGCTCTCGTGAAAAGTTGTGCATCACTTCAAACCGCGCCTGGAGATCTTGAATATATTCCTCAGGCGATAAAGGAGCATCCGGAGGGCGACCAAACAAGAGATCACAAGGCAGACGAAGGTCACGACCGAAGAGCATCTGTGGACAGCACTGCGGTAAGCCAGTAAAAAGAGTGGTAATTTCTTGTTCCAGTCCTGTTGGTTTCTGGAAACCACTAATGAGAGGTTATTAAGGATGGTTCGATTGAACCTCTCTACCATGCCGTCCGACTGGGGATGCAATGGCGTCGTTTGAGTTTTGTCAATGCCGAGTAGTTTGCATAGTTCTTTGATTACTGCCGAGGCAAAATTCCTTCCCTGATCGGAATGTAACTGAAGAGGCACTCCGAACCTGGAAATCCAGTGCTGTATCATTACCTCAGCTACTGTGACAGCCTCTTGATCAGGAATAGGATAAGCTTCAGGCCACTTGGTGAAGTAATCAATGACAACGAGTATGTATTTGTTGCCATCAGCAGTTCGTGGCAGAGGTCCCAAGATGTCAAAGGCGATACGTTCAAATGGCGCACCTACGTTGTAACGTTGCTGCTTGCCTCGGCTTCGTTTCCTCGGTCCTTTCCGATCTGCACAGGCATCGCAAGATCGGCACCACTTTTGCACGTCATTCTTTGCATTATTCCAGTAAAAGCGCTCACGAACTCTCTGTAAGATCTTCATAATTCCAAAGTTACCTCCTGTAGGGCTGTTATGTAGTTCTTTAAGGACATCAGGATGGATTTCTACCTGCCAATACCCACTCTTTAAATCAAGTGTTGAGAATCACTTGCTTCCAGAAAGAGTGTCTAGAAATGTCATCAATTCTAGGAAGAGGGTAACTGTCTTTCTTCGTAACCTCATTCAACCGGCGATAGTCAACGCAAAATCTTGTTGAGCCGTCTTTCTTTCTGACGAGAACGATGGGAGATGCCCATGGACTCGCTCAAGGCTCGATGACATCGCCTTCTTCCATATCTTTTAACAGTGTTCGCACCTCTTCCTGTTTAGCAAACGGTAGACGTCTTGGATGTTGCTTGATCAGGGGATGATCGCCGGTATCGATTCTATGTTGTGTCAAACTAGTTCGACCCACGTCAGAAGACGAGCGGAGAAAACAACTTGAAGATCTTTAATGACGCGATCGGCAGCATTTCTCTCTTTATTGTTTAATTGTGCATTCTGCAATAACTCCGATGTAATGCTCTCTGAGGACACGGGTTCTGGGATGTTACTCTTTCTTTCAACGCTGGTTACTGGAGTACATGTTGCAACCACTTCACCTTTCTTAATAACTCTCGACTTTCAGTTACATTGGCGACTCTCACAGGGATAACCGTTCTGGATAGGTCGACGAGTGTTGAGGCTACTAGTACTCCTTTTGGGCTATTACAGTTATTGGGATATTCTATGATGCCGTAGCGCAAATTTCTGTTTTCGGCTATGGATCCAGGAAGTAAAATTTCTGTTCTTGCCGGTATTGTGATATTGTCTTGTGCTATGATTTTATGGACAGATTTAACTTCTTCATCGTTAACTAGAAATAACGCTATGTCCTCAGATGTAGAATGCAATTATTTTTATATCCAAGGATTTTTAAAATCCAAGGAAAAATTGTATTTACTTAGAAAGTCCAATCCAAGTATGCAAGTATGATCTCTGCTACATATGCCGTGTGATGGTAAGCGGCACTTCCAAACGTGATGTTAACATTTACTTTTCCGTCGATGTCGATCTTCTCACCGGACACAGTCTGGAGGGTAACGCAGGGCGGCGTCCAGATAAGTTTGTTTCCTAGTTGTTGAGCCAAATCTTTTCGGATGATTGTAACGTTGGCTCCTGTATCTATAGTCATATTGCACGGAATTCCATTAATATGTCCTATTATGAAAAGTCCATTACTGCCGCCTTTCACTGAGGAAATCCGAAGCGCTTTAAACGGGAGCTCTTCATTATCTGGCAACCTCCGCCCCGCGAGATGGCCACTAATTACTTTCCCTGCTGTTTGTTAGAAGCGGTCTTAACATCCGTACCCTGGGGTATTCTGCAGTTTCGTCGTATGTCCTTCAGCACCGCAGTTCGAGCACTTGACGGTCGGTTTCTTCTCACCAATATTCCGTCTCAAGGCATTCAGTTCTCTGGTTAAATCGTCTAGACGAACGGTGACTTGATCCCCTGGCTCCTGGACTTGAGCAGCTCTGACTGGGTGGCGGTCTCGACGAGTGGCTTGCTGGGCTGCCTCGAATTTCATGGCGTACACCAGAGCGCTTTTTAAATCTTTTACATCCGCCATTCGTAGAGCTTTCTGTATTTCAGTATCCCGGATGCCGTCGATTTAGTATTGCAAGGACAGGATTTCCCTTGTTTCTGTCGGGCATTTTGAAAAGGCGAGATGGGACAGCCTTTCAACATCCCTGGCGAGCTCCTGAAATGTTTCGGTAGGCTTCTGTTGACGAGATTTTAATTGGAGCCTGCTGTAGTCTTTTCAACACTTCTCCCCAAAGCGCAGCTCCTAGGCGCCGGACAGAGTTTCGAAATCTAACCTTTTGTTTTCGGGAAGAGTCTGAAGGATATCCGCTGCGTCGGCTCTTAAAGAAGCGGCAAGATGACAGGCCTTAGCTTGGGAATCCCATCCATTCGCATCCGCCACGATAGAAAATTGTGTCTTATACACCAGCCAGGAGGTCTTCCCATCATATGTGGATAGCTTCAGAGGTGGACGAGCAAGCATCGGTAAGAATTTAAAATCATCACTCCTGCTCCCTGCCGAAGCTACGAATTTCTTTAAAGTATCCATTTCTTTGGCAACTGCAGAAACTCTCTCATCAATTTGTTGTTCGATTTGTTGTTTAACGGAACAAGCTCTTCCTTCTATTTCTTCTTTGACTGAATCAACTCTGTAATCTATTTGTTGTTCCACGGCCGAAACTCTATCTTCTATTTGCTCTTTCACAGAAGAAACGTTTTCTTCAATTTGTCCAACTTTAATTTCGACCGCGTCTATTCTGCCTTCCATAGCCTCAAATTTATTTTCTATTACGCAGGTAATTTCTCTTTTCATTTCG